CACTTCACAGTGGCCATGGTGAAGTGGGGTGCTCCCTGCATGGGGCCAGAGGGCTGGCCTGTGTCCCATGCTCCTGGACACACAGCAGCTCCCTGCCCGGGACCCACCTCTATTATCATGTCCTGCCGCCCCCCTCCACCAGGGACCCACCTCTATCATGAGCTCCTGCCGCCCCCCTCCACCGGGGACCCACCTTTATCATGTGCTCCTGCACGCAGAGCGGGTCGCTGTTGCCCAGGATGCTGAGCAGCTCGTCGTCGGAGATGAAGAAGAACCGGGGGAAGGCGTTGCGCTTGGAATCCAGGTAGTCGTTCAGACTCTTCTGGCACTTCTCCAGGCCCTCGCTGAGGCTCTGCAGCTCGCTGAGGCGGTTCTGGGCTTCGCAGCACTTCTTGATCACGGGGTCTTTCAAAGTGTCCGCCATGATCTGGAAGGACGACCAGGGAGCCGTAAGCGGAGCACGGCACACGGGCCACCTTCGTTCCCGCAACTGCATGTGGCAGGGAGCAAGCCACAGCCTTTTGGGAGAGCAGCCAGGCGAAATCTAGCAAATTAAAAAACCCTTGGCACCTTCCGTGAGCCCTGGGGTCGCTGTGAGATTGGACACAGTGGGCTGATAACCTCTAGGTTCATGACTCAAACCCACCAGCCACTCCCAGTGAGAAAGATGAGGCTGTCTGCCCCTATATAAAGATGCACGGCCTCAACCACCCTACACAGGGTCACTGTGCGTTGAAATGGGGCTTCTGGGGGGTAAGAGTCAGAAAGGACCCAATGGCAGAGGGCTTGGTTTGGGTTTGGGGACCTTCAAATGTATTATATAGAGTATGCTCCTTTCTTAAAAAAATTTTTTTTCCTTGGGGGCTCTTTGCATCTCTTATAACATTCCATACACCGATTGTATCTAGCATATTTACATATGTTGCCATCATCATTTCTAAAACATTTTCTTTCTACTTGAGCCCTTGGTAAAAGCACCTCTTTTCCCCCTGACCCTCCCACCCTCGTGCATCCTTGATCAATTATATTGGTAGTATTATTTTGTATCTTACACTGTTCATTGTCTCCCTTCACCCACATTTCTGCTGTTTGTCCCATTCAGGTGGAGGGCTACATACAATATGCTCCTTTCTGATGAGGGATTTTTTGTTGTCTATGGTTAGATGCCCATGAGCACCGGTTGGTCAAGGCTGGGCACTGAATAGCAACAACAGTGTTTGTTCAGTGAAGGAACCCTGCAATTCCACTGTGAGCCAGTGTGTGCCAGGATGCTCCCCTGGGTATTCTTTATAACACAAATATAAGTAAACAAAGGGAACAATGACCTCAGTGTCCAGCAACAGAGGATGGGGTACAAAACCACACCGTGGAATCATAAGAAGGTGCTGTGAAAAATCGTGCTTATTTTATAAATGTATGTTGATCTTTTTACAAGCCGACCCCATTGGGAAGGATGGCTCTGTGTTTTGTGGAACATCTAGTGACGTCTGTCTGTCTTCACAGGCTGACATAAGAAGGGTGCATGCCCGCAGAGAGAGATGCTGAAACAGGAACTGCGGGTGGCTTGGAGGATGGAGCCTGGCGGCACTGTGCATGTGCACCGGCTTGCTCACCAGAACACCAGCAGTTGGAAGCGACTAGCCACTCCAAGCGAGCGAGACGGGGCTTTGACAGCCTCAGAAACCCACAGCGCAGCTCGACCCTGTCCTCTGGGGGTGCTCTTAGTTGCCGGTGACCCGAAGGCAGTGAGTTTGGGTTTGGGTTCTAATCTTGGATGACCAACACATTGCCACGCAGTCAGTCCCGGCTCCTTGCCACCCTGCAGGACAGAGCAGATGTTCCTCTCGGGGTTTCCAAGGGTGAGTCCACGGGACAGGCTGCCACACTTCTCTCCCAAGGAGCAGCGGGTGGGCGCCAACAGCTACCCTTTCCATTAGTGAAAACTGGCACTTTGACCACAAAGCCAGGAGGGTGCTCCAAAAGCCCAAACCCAGCCCAATGCCATCGGTTTGATTCCAGCGTGTACTGACCTACCCAGCATCCCCAAGGCTGTACATTTATTTGTATGGGGGCAGGCAGCCTCGGCTCTCCCCCGAGGAGTGGCTGGTGTGTTTGAACTGTCCACCTTGTAGCTAGCAGTCCGATGCTTGCTCGTCAGGACCGCGGATTACAAAATTCACCACCCTTCCCTGCTCCCTTTTGTTTGTAAATTCTAATTCCTTCCATAGGGTGGCTGTCACCTAATCTGGTGTCAATTTAAGGAT